CTATTTCCTAATATGATTTTTCATGATGGTTTTGGAAACCCAGGAGCTGATGAGGCCTAAGAAGTCTTCAGGAATGGCTCGTGTCTCTGTTGCCTTCTCTACAAATGCCCAGTAATTCTGAATTTACAGTTATCAGAGGAGAAAAGCTGTGGTGACTGAAATGAGGCACATTGCTTCACTGTACGAAAGTTTGTGTCGGAGGCAGCACAAGAAGTTGTAAAATGTAAATCTCATGCTCTCAAATTTCCCCGTGTTTTCACGGAACTGCATCTGTGACTGTGCAGCACTACAAAAATTTCCTGTGAATGTGCTAATAGGCCTTATGAGAATGTTCTATCACCATCCATCTGTCACTTTTTAACAGGCCTGATTGGCAAGCACTTGTAACAACTGACATCTGTTCTCGCTTATTGATATGTAGATTTATGGTAATTGCTGTGAACAATAAGACACAAAATTACCTAAGGTGAACATTAAATTAAATTTTCATGCCCCTATCCTTATAAATAATTTTTTTAAAATCTTAAGTTTCAAGCAAGGCATACTGTGCATCTGTTTTGTACATAATTTAATTGTTTTTTTAATCTGCCAAATAACAAAATGAAAGTTGAATTTCCTTGCAATCTTGAGTATTTGCCAAGCTGATAGTGCATCGGTAAATACATGTTATTAAAAATGGAATCAAACTGTATTGTGATTCTGGTTTTTTTAATCATTTCCCTTTAATTCCCAACATCGTCTCCATCATGAAGATCAGAGTTATTCCTTACCCAGAAGTTTTTTTTTTTTTCCTCTGCAGGGGGATTTTCATTTTTCATGTGCAGCTCTGCCTATGAGGCTGTTCTTCAATGTTAAGCAATTTGCATTTCTTCAGAGAGAGGTGCATTTGCTGAGTGAGCAGCACTTTCAAATAAAAACCATCTACCCATTTGCAGTCCAGCTCTGTTGCGGGATTTGGGACCATTTTGAAAAAGCTGTAGGATGTGAAGTGTGTGAAGACAGTGAAGGGGAGGGAATGAGAGAGCAGATTAGTCCCACAGAACTATACCTTGGCTGAAGTTCAATTGAACCAGAAATCCCCATTTGAAAGCAAAGTACTTTTTGGGTCTGGGGCTTGAGCGCAGTTGGTTTCCTCCTCCAAGTTTGTCCTAGCAAGTGCGATGTTGACGCACTTGACAAGTTGATGGGAGAAACCAATAAAGAGGGAGCAGAGATGGTAAAATGCCTGGGGAACAGGAAACAGTGATGACAGGACTTCTTTTTTGTATGTTTGAGCAGACAGAGGATGCATATTAAGTGATAAACCTGTTGACACAATCATCTCTAGAGCATGCTGGATGATGGCGTGTGCCATGAGCCCTTGCTGGCAGTCACATTTGGGTGCTCAATTCAGTGGGACTCTTTGCTGTCTTTCTTTTACGCATGTGTGACAACAGTCTTTTGTGGCAAGCAGTTTTTTCCTGAAGGCACCGAAGCTGACACTCTATAACATCTGCAGCGCTGGTTTGTGGCCAGTGTCTTTTAGTCACCTCTACAGTAAAACAGACTGGGTGGGGAGACAACTTCGTCACCGCCTAGCTCTTGTTTGTTAATCTTCTTTTGGCATTGAAACTCTTTCGTCGAGTTGATGGGATCCTCTTGTGCTTCCACAGGAAATAAGCCCCTATTAAAAAAATGTTTTTGTGGGATGAGGCAATGCTGGTGTTTATTTTGCATCCACACAGACATGATGGTGGTTCATGAGCCCAGAGAGAGCAGTTGTTTGTTCCACTGCCTGTTGACCTTGTCTTGCCTGCTGTGCTCTTCCTCGAGCACCCTACAGTGCGCGAACGCTGCCTTCCAGCTTCACAGCCCTCTGTGCTCACAGCCTTCTGCAGCCTTGCATGCATGGGCAAAGCCGTGCACATAACATGCAATAGAAAAAGCAGTACTAAATTGCTTCAAAATCCGTTTGTGTCTAAATTGAGGTTTGGGGAAAAGTCCATGCATTTTCCAGAAATGTGGGATTCCATCTAGGGGAAGCTATTTTGCAGTCTCTCCTCTAGTACCCTTCTGCATTTGTTCGCTGTTATTTAATCCTGCCGTGCGTGCTGTTTAAAGGTCCGAGGTGGAAACCTCCCCACAGAAAAAATATAAGCTGATTATGACTGATCCTTCTGATGAATAACTAACCAGTGGGTGATAGAAAACCATGCTGCCATGGTGGACAGCAACGCACTGCTTTCCCAAATCTCTGTTACAGAATGGCATGAAATGTGACCTTGGTGAAGACCACCAATGTTTGCTGGACATTCTTTATTCTTTATTTTTTAAGATAGTCATTACCCTCCAAAAGAAACCTGAAAGAGCTTTTTTGGTCACGTAATTCCTCCAAGTGTGTTGTGCAGATCCCAGACTACAAAGTGGTGGATCTTGGATCAACTAAAACCTTAGTCCTAACATGTCATTGTGTCACATTTTCAAAAGCACCAATATCTGAGCTGACTTTGGGCATTCGACTGAGGCACAGAAGTTAGAGCCGCCACCAGGCTAGGTACTCAGCTGACCCCTGACCTGCCTGTTGGAATATGCTGTATTTAAATTTGGGGTTTATTCACAAATAGATGTTTATATCAAGGTTCACCTCACAGTTCCTAATGCTGGGACAGCAAGAATACCTCTTTACAGGGCTCATTGATTGTACCAACCTGAGTCTGCAACAGATGCGTTTGAAAGTAATATCACCCTCCACTACTGCAGGAGTTCTCAGTTCTTAGAAAATACCTCTCCTTCATTGCATTTTTTTTTCTTCTCCAACATATTTGCAAAGTATTATGTTTACCCTCATGTTTTTTCATCTTCTCCAGGTTGTTATTAAGTACCCCTAGTTTGAGAAACAAAATGTGCAGGGAGAAGTAATATCCTTGTTAGACAAACTAACATTCAGAGAAAACTGGACAAGTGTCCAGGCACTCAAGCTCTTCTTTGGCTTTTGCCCAAAAATTCATGCAGTCTTCCCATATCTATCACTTGGTCTAAAAAAAGTATTGCTCTTCCCACCACCTAACCTTTCAGGTGTACTTAACCAGGACTACAGGAACATAATAAAAATCTTTCAGTATTTTGGTTTTATGCCAACTTTGCCAATTCTACTGAGCGCTCAAGCAGCATGCGCAGATCTCCTTCATGTGTCCAAACCAAAAAGGATGATCTCTCACTGCCATCCAAAGAATGTCGCTCACATCCATATGTAGACACTCAGTCTGAACATTGTGCCTGGGGACAGTTGTATCTTATTCAGAGGATCCTGAGGAGGATCCACTCTGGTTAATGCTAGCACGTAACTTGTATCTGCACTATAGTCTCTTACTGAAGCAGTTCACGATTAGATTAAGTGCACAAGTACTTTGTCTAGTCCTAATTAAAAGGTAGGTACTTCTGAAGGCCTCTGGAGAGACAGACTCCTGTCCCTCTGATTTAAGTCAAATGAATGCCATTTGCTGTTCCTTAATCATCTTCTTTGCTATTTCACATCAATTCTATTTTTTGTTTGTCCCTTTTTACTTGTCATCTAAATAAAAGCCTTTGTTATTTAAATGCATCCATTTCTTGAAGGTCCTCATTGAAATGCAGGTATATTTTCCCCATAGCTTCTAAAATAACAGTGACAGATAACTGAGTAGACTTGATATCACAGTCCAGAGCTTATGGCCTGAAAGTCCCTACCTCAGTGATGGCTCTGTGATCAGACTGATTCTTAGTTCGTATGTGTTTTTAGAAATGAGCCATCAAAAGGAAAATCAGCACAATTATTGGCTACTGCATGGCGTAGCCTTAGTAGATGCATTCAGGGGAGACACAGGAAACAAACTGTATTCATCCCGATTATATGACCCTGCCCTGAATGTGTTTTAAACATTAGTTATCCTCTTTACACCCCCTGTTGTGTCAGGAAATAGTATTGTGCCTGGGCTTCACACAGAGTTTAAATTACTTTTAATTCTACACTTCCATTACAGAAGAAGCACAAACCAGGTTTAATTTTCCTCAACTATAGGCTAGTGCCTTTGCTATATTCTCTCAACTCCAAGGTAGAGAGGTGAAAGATGCTATTTGGGGACTGTAAGAGATGATTCTCAGATTACAGATGTCTTGGGAGTGAAAAGAAGAATTTAATCTCTTGGCAAGGTACATCCCATGTTCCGTGTCCATTGAAAATAGCTTTTTTTTTTTTTTAATTACATGTTTTAATTAACCCTATTGCTTCTCCACGCAGGCATGAACGCTTTACAATTACAGAATTTGGCAACTTTAGCAGCCGCAGCAGCCGCCGCCCAAACCTCAGCTACCACCACCAATGCAAATCCTCTCTCCACAACGACTGGTGCTCTGGGAGCCCTCACAAGTCCCGGTAAGAGCAGAGTGCTTGCTTTCAAAATACAAACGTGAGAACAAATGGCTAGGTGATAGTTAAAACATTGATTCCATTTTGTGTCTAAGTTCTGTGCTCATATAAATTCTGAAGACTCTTTGAATAGCCGAATACATTTTTGTTGCTGTTATTTTTAAGCAAATAACTAATTTTTCAAGTGGTCCAATGGGGACATGTTCCTCTTTCCAGACTCATTTTAGGGGCCATTAAAGCCTAATGGATCCGTCTTACAAAACTCTACCTGAAAGTTATGCAATCACACGGGAAACTTAAGCTAAATTATACTTTTCATAAAGAGTTCAGAACATGAGCCAATCCTTCCCATCCTACAGAAAGATCAACCGAGGTGGTTCTTTTTAATCCCCGAGAGACAGATCTTTGATTCCCAGAACCTCATGCCATATTGCCTTCACCCATCATGAAGTGACAGCCATACTGTCCTGTATCAGCACTAGTGTGGCCAGCAGGAGCAGGGAAGTGATCGTGCCCCTGTACTCGGCACTGGTGAGGCCGCACCTCGAATCCTGTGTTCAGTTTTGGGCCCCTCACTACAAGAAGGACATTGAGGTGCTGGAGCGTGTCCAGAGAAGGGCAACAAAGCTGGTGAGGGGTCTGGAGCACAAGTCTTATGAGGAGCGGCTGAGAGAACTGGGGTTGTTCAGTCTGGAGAAGAGGAGGCTGAGGGGAGACCTTATCGCTCTCTACAACTACCTGAAAGGGGGTTGTGGTGAGGTGGGTGTTCATCTCTTCTCCCAATAGAATGAGACGAATTGGTCTCAAGTTGTGCCAGGAGAGGTTTAGCTTGAATATTAGGAAAAATTTCTTTACCGAGAGAGTGGTCAGGGTGCCCAGGGAGGTGGTGGAGTCACCATCACTGGAAGTGTTCAAAAAACATGTGGATGTGGCACTTTGGGACATGGTTTAGTGGACATGGTGGTGTTGTGTTGATGGTTAGACTTGATGATCTTAAAGGTCTTTTCCAATCTTGATGATTCTGTGATTCTATGAATTTTTGTAGAGTCCTTCTCTCTCTTTTTCCTTCTCCTTTTCTTGCTGTAGTATCTGTTGAGCTTTCTTCTGGTCCTACCTGAGAATACACTTACAGAAGTGATATCAGATGCACAAGGAATACACAGCCAGATTCTGACTTCATTACACTAAGCAAAAGACAGATTTATGGGAGAATAAGGGACAGGATAAGAGGTGGTGGTGCCTCGATGACCGCCACGTAGATTTTCAGCTATGCATGTCCCATGTCTGCAAAATCTTAGAGAGAAATCAGGGAAAATCCAGAGTTCAGCAACGCTTCAGCATCTCCGGAATCTACAGAGATGTTGGTTCAGTGTAGTTACTCTGGATTTACAGTGATGTAGGTGAGCCAAGAATCCGGCCACTTATCTTTACATAAAGGCTGCAGGGTGTAATTATTTGCATCATGAAGTGTGTTTATTGCTGTTCTAAAAAACATTCATATTATTTTAGACACCACTAAAGAACATTTGTGTTTAATCTTGTTTAAGTGTGTATTTATTCCCCATGAAAAAGTAATTCATGGCTCATGAGTAAGGAAAACAGTTTTCACTGCACAACAGAACTGGGACCGAGTGTGGTGCCGGGTGTTAAAGGCTGGCCAGCACTTCCCGTTATCTTACAGTTTTGTTTGGTTTGGGGAGAGGTTACATGGAAGGCAGCTTGGCTAATACTAAGTTTGTGCAGCATTTTCCTGTTTGCAACATCTCTGAGAAGCAGGTTGGGTGAAAATAATTTTGATTTGCTGATATATTTTTTTTTTAAACCTGAGCAATCTCTTCCCTCCGTCCTGGAGCTGGGACTTAAGGCTTTGCAAAAGGCTAATCTCAGTGTCAACATTTCTGCAGTACTCCTGTCTAAATGTCACCCGTTTATAGAAGCGGAAATGTTGCATTTCATGCATGCTCTGTAATATCTCTGCAGTTTAGCTGTTAAATGTCTGAGTAGCCTGTTCTCCCAAAGCATGTTCAGCATTTCTTGAGCCATACAGACCAAACTTCTCAGGGCAACTGGAAGTGAGCTTTCCTTATCGACGCTGCTCTGCAGTAAAGTGGCACCAGAACCTCAGGCAGCAGCATGTTCCTGTCGTGCTCTTTGTCTTGCCATGTTAGCACAGGACTCAGATTCATCCTTAAGGTCCACATTTTCCGATCTCCCTTTCCAACTTCTTATCCATCCTGGCTGACTTGCTGTTCCCTCTTTTAACCTGGTCTGGAGGCTCCTTGAGTACCTGGAAGGTGGTTTCATCTCCTGTGCGAGTCTGCAGAGGCATGTGGTTAGAAAAGTGCTTCAGCTGGGTTGGGCAGATACTTCTTTGGGACAACTAGAGCTTATTATTGCTCAGAGCGATATTGTAGAGAAGATACCAAGGTTTTTCCAAAGAGATGAATGATTTTTACTAGCACATTGAAGATGTGTTATTTTCAAAATATTCTGGACATTTAGCCTTTGAAATAGTGTATTCAGAATGACAATCGCTTTTGAAAGTCTTATAGATAGTAGCTGTACACAAGTGTTTCTAGTATTAAACACCTTGGTGTGTCAGAGAAAGTCTATATCTAGTAGGTCCATTGACCTATTTATGTTGCACAACCAACGTAAAATCAAGCCTTGTTAAAATATCCTTCAGTTAACCTTTCTTATCCGGTTCCACACTCTCCGCCCTATTAAATATTTTGTAAACCTGAATAATATCTTCAATGATTCTTCTCTGCTCTATGGAAAATGAATTTAGTTTGATAAAGCTTTTCATAGTAGCTCAAAGTATTTCCATTAAAACTTGAAATATGTTGGCAGAAAACATTTAAATATGCCTTTCAATGTGTGGATATTTGGAGGCCTTGAGGGTATTTTTTGGGTGTAGTTTTCTTTTAATAGAACACTTGAGTTTGTTGTGTTTCATAAGTGTAAATTATTTTGTCTGATTTCAAAGCCTGCACTAAGCCCAGGAAGGAATGTTTGTGTCTCTCCAGATAATGCATTAAATTACTATTTCTCAGTTCAGAAAACTGCCCAAATTTAGGAGAGTGCAAATGTACATGCTTAAATTTAATCCTTTTTTTGATGCTGTTAAAGCCAAAATACTGCACGGAACAGGGATGGGCATGAGTATGTACTTCTAATATGCCTTAAACCACAGCAGCCACATAAATCATATCCATGTTTCTACCCATATATAACTATATATACATATATAACTATAAATATATGTAACTATATCTCTCCTGAATCAATCTTTGACAGAGCTCTTGTTCCGTTCTTGGTAGATATGTGTCATAAGAACACCAAAAGGTGGTTACTTCAGTTAAAATTCATCTTGCAGCTTAATTTTACATAAATAAGATTTAGCAACCTTCAGTGCATCAAACTATTACGGAGGGGATGGTGGTCAGGCCAACTTTGATGCATTGGCAACACAGAAAAACAGGCCAGGAAGTGAGGAGCCAACAGGGCATCTGATATTTGAGGATGTCAAGTTTTTCTACTGGCTTCTAATTGTAATATATTCAAAAAGAAGAGAAAAATATTCAGCATCTAATAATGACTGTTCAAGCTGTATGAAACTTCTTCAAGGTTCATACAATCACATATTTCCAAACAAATTAAACTCCGATGATCTTTCATGCATTCTTACTAAATAGCTTTGACCGCAAGAGAGTCTAAGGACATTCTTTGTCCTCCATGTGCTAAATACTTTCTCTTAAGCTTGAAACAGTAGTCAGTCAGAAAGAACAGAGACAATGCAATCCCCCAAACTATTAATTTTTTTATAATTGTAAATTTATAATTTCAATTTTGCATACCCATGGAAGTCTCTCCCTACAGCATTGTTAGAAATGATTTTTTAAAAGCCTTTGCTTAAAAAAACATGAAAGATTAAGCTTTCATTTTAGTAAAAATCCCCTCAGGCAATAAATAGGTTCCTTTGTATCTTGGCCCTGGAAAAAAAAATTAAAATGGTTTAAATTGCCCATGGTTAAAGTAACTTTCTTGCAATTATCAGATGGCAGTGAATAAAAATGAAAATGAAATCATGAAAGAATAAAAACCAGGTAAATGCATATTATGTCTTTTATGAGTTTCTCATGGGTCTTTTGAAGACTCATTTAATCATCTTTCTTGTCTTTTATTTTGATATGATAATTGTTTCTTTTATTTACTTTAATCACCTCTATTTAGTTAATTAATTCTTCAGTTACTTTTCGTTTCACTCGCTTAGAATACTTTCCTGTTTCAGAGGCAGGTACCTGTAGTATTTCATAAGGTAAAGATTTGGGCTGGAGTAGCTTTTACCTGACTGCAGGTTGTCTGAGCCAGGTTGTCTCAACTCCCTTTTGGTTGAGTCCTGGAAGTTTGCATTCCCCATTAACTGGGAAGGGATTTTGGAGGGACTACCTCAGGTGTAGGGTTCAACACTGTAAATTTCTCAGTTTAGGCAGGATGAATCTCAGCTGAGTTCAGGAACCTTGTCCTCTCCTCCAGAGACTGTCCTTGACATGTCCTGCAAACGGATCTACTCGGAAAGAGCTCACAGGGAGGCTGCTATGCCTGACCTTGCAGGGATTTCTGGTTTTTATTGTGGTGGAAAGGCCTGGAGATGAATGTGAAGGAGGGAGCTGCAAGCTCAGGAGTAGAGTATCTATCTGCCTCTAACACTGTCTGACGCTCAATTTGCCTCAGTTGACCTGCTACCCTAATTTTCCCAAGGATAATAATGTTTATTCTGACTGTCCTGGGTGGTACAAGGTTGATACAGCAGTGTAAAACATTTCCTGATACCAGCAGCTATGAAGCTTCTGATCTTTTTGCCAACTGATGTTAAGCAACAGCAGAAAAATGTTTGTACTCACAGGAAGAATATGTAAGTCGGGTTTCAGACACCACCTTACTTTGTTATCACCTTCTCCATCACTGCATGTCTTTTTATTGTTTAATGCCATAACATTAGA